AGTGTAGAAGTTTTTTTTTATTGAGTTTCACCTGAAAAGTTTGTCTTATTCATTTACAATTATTCCTTGCAACATGAAATTTTAAAGAAATTCTCTTTTAGCTTCAAGGATAAATGTTACGAAACAGTATACATATTTGCGGCAATTTTAACCTGAAAAGTAACACTGCATAAATTATTAGAAAAGTCATTTCACACATCTGTTTTTTTTTCTTGGTATATTTCCGCCAGTACAGAATTTTCTGGAATCCCGAGTCTTCGATTTTTGGAGTTATTCAACTGAATACAAGTCTACTGCACTTTACAACACTTAATGATGTAAAACGTCTGACAGCAATGTCGCTAAAATACCCTTTTCGAAAATTTTTGTTTTGTAGTTGTAAGTAAATCCCAGTGGCTAAATCATGTATCTGTCGATGGAAATGTACAGAATCGCTGCTCCGCGGAAAAAGTCGCAAGTCTCACCATAAAAAAAAAAAAATTACTGAAGGTGTTGTTAGTATTACCCGTGTAGAACTGCTCGTTTGATGATATTTTGAAATGCATAGCTTTGGGGTTTCTTAAAATTGTGACTTTCCAACATTCGTTTAAAGACGGAAAATGTTTCAGAATAAGAGTTTAAGTCATAGCCTCTAAAAGTAAGCAAAATGGCTATTTCTACCTGTTGGTGAAGTCTCCACGCATTCTGATTTCTCCAGGGTGAATCAGATCGCACGGTTGGTAAAAATAAGTCTGAAGCGAGAATAAACAGCGACAGTCGACCTTTTTGAATAGCAAATTAAAATTTAAAGCAACTCTTCTTTCCACGGCAGCTGGTAATGGAATACTTGCCAACTATTAACAGAAGGAGTCCGCAATAGCCACCGCAGTATACAATGTAGGTCGAAGCTGATAACGAAAAAAATAGCCCATTCGCCTCATTAATATTTCAGCGTGATTCAAGCTTAAATGAAAGCGACTTTCCCTTCTTATGATAAAACAATACCGAGAAAAACACTCCCAGGAGAAATTTGTTCACGTTTCGACTAGCATGTAACTGTTTCGGCTGGTATTATGTTTCAGTGTTTGCTTTAAACTAGCAAATTAAACGTGCCCTTCATGGGCAAATTCGTTTTAGAGTGAAATATAAACAATCAAAACTACAGCTGTTTTTTTAGCTACATATTTTTGCTTTCAAACGCTCAAAAAGCTCTTCATTTAAAAAAGCATCCAATTGCCGTTTAATTGTTCGTTGTCCTTGTTTACCCTCAAACGTTTTAACGCGTTTATAATCGTTCGTGTTTTAAGAGCAAAAACTCCTCCACTCCGCAGTGAGCTTTACTCTTAAAGCGTCGCTTTTAAGCGATAAGAGATTTTGGCTGAATATGAATATGAAATCAAAAGATTTTAATTTGCCTTTGATCCAGATTCACTTTCTGGTCTGCCAAAACTAGAGGATTTCTTTGAAATATAAGGGTTCCCACTGTAAATACGTGACTGTCTTCTTTAAAAGATGAAAGACGTAACGAAATTCCTTTTCCCTTGTCAAGTATCATACGAGGCAAAATTGCTAGAACAAAATGCAGGTTTCCTTACGTGGCCACCGAATTAAGTACATATTAATGGGATTTACTGGTTCTATTTTGTCTACAGCCTCTTTTGATAAAATTTAAGCCTTGGAAAACACCGAGAGGAATAGTTTTCAGCTGAGATTTCTCAGTTGGCAGTCTATTAAAATCAATTTATTCTTTTTTCTTCAGTCAAATTTTGTCAATTTACACGTGAATAGAGGAAAACCATGGCGAGTCTTTCAAAGCTTCTGATCGGATAAAAAGTTACGATTTATTTAAAATTCATTTGGTGTAAGTCATTATTTTCCAAGGCTCATCATTGTCAATTTTCAGTTTCGATTGGATCACTTTGCCAGATCTTAAGGCAAAGTAATCCAATCGAAACTGAAAATTTACAATGGACCTTGGGAAATAATGACTTACACCAAATGAATTTTAAATAAATCGTCACTTTTTATCCGATCAGATAATCAAAAAACACAGGAATTTAAATTTGAAACGGAAACCCAACAATTTCATTCATTGCTTTTATGGAACGACGCTGCCTTGTAAATGATAGTTCCAACCCACGCGAGGTTGCAAGTTTTTGTAAGATAGACTGCATGGATAAAATAGGCTAACATCAAAACGGACTATGAACACTATGATGAACGCTTACTAAATCCTTTGGGAGGCGACTTGCTCCCCGTACAGAAATACAAACAGAAGCATCGGAATCCCCCCCAGGGGCGGGGGGGGGGGAGCTCACTCTCAAATGAAAATGGTGAAACTGAATTGTAGATTATGGTCCACCTAAAGTATGCTGGAAAACAAGTTGAAGAACGATGTTGCGCGTTTTACCAACCACGAATCAAACCTGTCTTACGACAAATCAGGTTGATGCAGGTTGCGAAAAGTTGTTGTAAAAAGTAGGGAGAGGTTTTTTCTTTTTGTGACAAAATCTGTAAATGTTGAGCATTTAACAGGCCCAACGCAAACTTGTTTTGCAACAAGTGACTTGATTACCATGTATATCAACACCATTATGGCGGCCGGCCACGCTGCCGTACGTCTCTTAACTTACATCTTTTTCGTGACTTCTATTTTACCGCTCGGGCACTTTCACCATCTTGGCCTTACAACTTGCTCCTACATCGTCGCCCGACGATTTTCGCTTGGTCACCAACGTGTAAAACTTCCAATTCTTAAATGGGCAAAGCATGGCGTAACGACCATCTCGCTACCTGACGTCCAACACGTCGTTGGAGAGGACTTTGTCTTACTGTGTGGCGACATTCACCCGCACCCTGGTCCTCGCTCTACTTTAAAATCCTCTGTTAATGGAACTACAACTCAAGTGTATTCATGACCTGATACCCAACTATCTTACTGGAAAATTTATTCAGAGGATTCACGGCAGAAACACTAGAGGCAGTGGAGAGTTAGACCTTCCAATTTGTAGATTAAAAACAGGGCAACGATCATTTGCTTTTCGGGGTGCAAAGTTGTATAACAACCTCCCAAACGAGATTAAGCAAACTTCCGATCTTAAAAAGTTTAAGGCTAAAGTCTGTAAATATTTGTTAAATTTGTAACTTTTAGTTTTTAGCATATTAGGATATATTCATGTAATTAGTTGTTAGTATTGACGGCGGAAGAGCCCTAGACAGGGAGCTGTTCAAATAAAGTATGTATGTATGTATGTATGTATGGCGCGACTCACGGGTAATCTCATCCAATCAGAGGACAGTTTTCAATCAAATTGCAACAAGCTGATTTGTTGCAAAACAGGTTTGATGTGAGTCGGTAAACTCGTAACATCGCTTTTCAACTTGTTTTGCAGTAATGTTGCAAAACACTTTGCACGTTTTTTGTTGCCCGTTTTTTAAATTACTGTAGCTTTGAAGTGATCATCACGCAAAAACCGATATTTTCATCCGTACAGGTATTGCTAAGGGTTGTGTATAAAGAAATACCTATACACATTTATGCAACGCAACGAATGCTACGCACACTGTTAAAAAACATCAATGTTACACTCGCCTGCACCTTCTCGCCCACAGAGCTTATCCAAGCTTATCCAACTCTCGCCACCTAGTGACCAAAAAGGTCTATTTCACTGCATGAGTTCATGCCATCGGAAAACAAAAGAAAAACAGCATAAAAACCGCATTTAAACAAATATTTATGCTCATTTATTTCAAATTTCACTTCAAATTATACTACATGCTTTACAAACAGCGGCCCTAGTTTCACTTTGCTTGGTCAGGAGCCGATCGGCTTCTGGCTTGGTAAACAATCTACACCGCAGACATACACTTCAAAGTAGGGAGAATTGTTTGGGACCAATAGCCCCACCCCCGGGGGGGGGGGGGGTACTCAACAATGTTTATACGGGGAGGCTCCGCCCTGAGGTCCAACCCCTTACCTTTTATATGCTATTTTTCACGAAAAAGGTACCCCTTTCGTATACCTTCTATTGACAAATGTTACCTCTTTCACATACCTTGTTTAGAACTTTGCATCCCTTTTAACTCCTGTTAATGCACTGTCTTTTAAATAGGAATTAATCACAAAAATAGAACGTTTTCTCGACTTTATAAAGCCATAGAATTCATCTGTTAGCCCTTTTGGGCGCTTTCACAGGACCCAAATGACAGATTTCCCTACCCCTTCATATACTTCAACTAGTAAAATCCCTACCCTAAAGCCTGAAAAGATAACCCTTTCGGGCGGAGCCTCCCCGTATAGGCCATCATAGGGAGTACCCCCCCCCCCCCGGGGCCAGGAGCCCAGGGTAATTACTAAATTACTAATAGGCTCCTGTTGGTCCCTTTATTTCTTCCTGATGCATAATCGACCAGATCGTAATTAAATTTAGTCCACTTGTTAAGTTCAATGCCATCTTGAGTCCGTTTAAGGGAATGTCTACACAACTATACTGGAGAGCTCTCGCGTCGGGACGAAAACCATACCAGATAGGGTTTCTGTTCACACATAACAACTGGGTGATTTCGGCGCGGTATCTGTACGGAAAAAAGTTGCGCGCGCCGCACCGATCTCGAAAGTGGAGCGTTACATATCGGATAGGTTTTGTGCCACGGATACGTTTTGTGCCATCGTGCGGGTCTAGGGAAAACCGAACAGGATTTAGGTCTATGATTATTGATCAAATCACTCTTTCTGTTTGTAGAACTTCTTCTTTACAAAAATATAACTTATATATCATTTTCCATTGCGTTTTAAATTAAGTATGCTCTATTTTACAAATAATGCTTAACAGCAGTGTGGGTCTTTAAATAGTTTTACTTTGCAAGTAGTCTAAGGTCTTACGAACGCCATGAGGACGTGGGCATGTACGTATTTTTTACACACAGTTTTTTAAACAGCTTTTGCTGCATTGTCTCTCTTCGCTTCGCGACTTATTCTTTTCTATTTGTCGAAAACACGCTGAACAACCGAAGACTCCGCCTTACTCGACCCAGTCTTTTGGATTTCGTAGAACCTCCAGAATTTCCTCTTCTTTGCTCCCGCTCTCGGGTGCATGCATGTATTCCCAACGGGCCTCCAACGGCAGGGACATCAAGATGCTTTCTATGCGAGCCCCAGGGGTATAGAGTCCAAATTTCGTACCTCGGTCATACACAAGGTTAAATTCCACGTATCTGCGAGAAGAAAATGCAATAATATTGGATATGAAGGCAATAATGCTATGAACAATGAACTACACAGAAGCTGAAGGCTGGGGTGGATAACATCCTCCGAGACGAATTCAAATTATTCATTCAACAGATTTCCAACATCATAACATTCTTACCTCTGAAAAACTCTTGAAAACATCTGCCAGTTCATCAGTAGTTTTAAAATATGAACGGATAATTTTTTTTCTTGTAGATATTCTCCAAAAAGCAGTGAAAAACCTTCAAGTGGCTATTTGTGATTCCCTGTACAGGCCGTAGCCTTTTACTGTCAGTATTTCGTTGTAGCCAAGTCCTTAAAATCTTCCAGCCATTTTCGCGTTCTCTATATCCGACGTTGTGTCTATGATGTCCGTTGTAAGATGTCATGAAGCAGAGGCGAGAGACAAGTGACCGTCAAGCGCGCGAAAACCCGACTTGCTCGCGGGCTTTGGCCTGAGAAGACGGCCGACATTTTGCCACGTCACAACTGATTTCCCCGCCAAATGACGTCTGAGAAACGAGCGCAGAAATTCCATACTTATGACGCGTCACTACCCAGATCTGGGCAGTGCTTCTGATTGGCTAAAGCAAATTTCCCACGCGGCACGACCAATCAGAAGCACTACCCAGGTCTGAGTAGTGATGCGTCATCAGTATGGAATTTCTGTTGCTAACACCACACCTACGGACTCACCGGCCTCTCCTGAGTAATTGCCAGAGTCGTTCTTTGTCCGTATAAGGATCATCTTTGTGTTTTTCTACAATAGGAACATAAGAGGGTAGTACAGCATTGGCACCCGCCTTGACAAACTGAAATGCGGCTTCATGTGAAGGCGTGTCAAGATCGTCAAAAAATATGCCACCAACACCACGACGTTCACCTACAGTAAATAAGAAGAGAAATTGTCCTGGCAATCTTTCTAAGGATCAATTGAGGCTTCTGGGAAACTGCCCACCTACCCCTCCCCTAAGCCAACATTATGCCCTAAGTGAGAAGTAAGTGATGATGTTGGCTTAGGGGAGGGGTAGGTGGGCAGTTTCCCAGTAACCTTAATTGAGCCCTTTTTAGCTATTATAACCTACTGTTAAAAGCAATAGAGAAAAGAAGTGTGACGTCACAAAAATTGGGATTGGTTGGCATATTCGGAAAAAACAAGATGAAAAAGCCCCCTTGCAAAAACTCAGCCTGTTAGTGCAGATTGGTGGGGACATATAAGCACCGTTATGGTCTTATAACTCCACACAAATCCTTCTTAAATTGGCCAGGGGCCTGTTTCTTGAAAATTCTGATAACTTTTCAGGCCCAGAAAGCTGTTTTGTGTTTGTCGTGTTTGCATTCAAGATCAAAGTTTCAATAACTTTGAAAATAATACAATGAAACTATCACTAAGTGAAGCAATTTTGATGGGTTTGTGGGCTAGGAAAGGGGATACTATTCAACAGGTTTTGATTTTAAAATTTGTCTTCTGGTCCGAAAAGTTTCCGTGTCTTTCAAGAAATAGACCCAGGCCTATGTTAGAAGGATTTATATGGAGTCTTTGGAGCATAAAGGTGCTTATATCCCCCCCATCAAAACTTTTAGCAAGTAAACATTTTTGATCTTGTTCTTTATGGATGTACTAAACAACTCCATAATTTCACAAATATTGTTTTTGAGACACCATCACTTCTCTTCAAATAGGAAAATTTATGTATCAATACAGATCTGGCTTACTTCCTTATAGCTTCAATAACATGTTTCTGGTGACACGCCAGGTGCACTCTTATGGCACTAGAAGTTCGGAGCATTTTTATTTACCACAATGCAGGACTAATATAAGAAAGTTCTCCATCAGTTTCCAAGGTCCTAAATTTTTTAACTTAATTTTTTAACTCTCTTAGTTTTGAAATTCGAAATGCAACAAGTACCGCTTCCTTTTGCTGTAAGCTGAAAGCATTCCTCTTATCATAAATAGTAATTTATATATATATATATATATATATATATATATATGTTTTTTTTTCTTCCTTTGCTCTTTTATTTTTATTTTTATTTGTTTTTTTTTTCTTTTTGTCATTTCGCTTTTTTTAGCCTGGAACTATTAGTACGACTATCTAATATACTTATTTTAAGATTTACTGTAGCTCTGCCATTGATTTTCCCATGTGTAATTATGATAATAACCCCCTTAATACGGACACTGAGGGGGCCATAGAAAGTGTCCGTATTAACAGGGTGTCCATATAAAGCGCGTTGAATTTGGAAAAAAAGTAAGGGCTTTCTTTCCCCAGAGCCAAAGCGAACTGTCTGTAATAATTAGGTGTCCATATTAAGCAGATGTCCATAAACGGGGGGTTCGACTGTATGTCAGAAGTGTCCCAAATGGTTTTCTCTATGCTTTAGAAGTCTCTGTGGTTAATCTGGAGCTACCCTATAAACTATTTATCAGATGTCTTAGCGGAACTTTGGTCGTCTTGAAAGGAGACGAGGCAAACCAGTTGGCTACCGAGAAAAAACCCAGCTAGCGGTTAGGGCTTAGTCTCCCATGCAACCATTTTTGTCTTGTTTGTTGGGGGGGAGTATTGCGTGACAAGACTAAAACGGTTGCGAGGGACGCTAGTAAAGGTGGGGATTGAACTCAGGGGGAGTTTTTATCCTTTTGAGCTCTTCAAACTTCATGACTTTGCATGATTTTTGCCCATGAATTTTTGCAGTTTTCCATGACCCGAGGTTAAGCTGTCACTTTCGAAAAAGTTAAAACTTTTCTTTTTTTCTGGTGATTTGTTAACCTAACTCAGTTCAACAGACACAAGTTCTGGCTTCTGCCAAAATGCATGACGTTTGGTCTACTCAACTACTTGCCTCTGTTTTACTTTGTCCTTGCTTTGACAAGTGCAGTGACTAAAATCTACCAAACATAACTTAAATTTTCCATGACTTTCCATGACTGACAATTATTAAATTCCACGACTTTCAAGGCATGGAAAATGAAAATCTTAAATTTCATGACTTTCTAGGTTTTACCTCCATTTTATAGTAAAGTCTGTGAAGCAGTGCCAAGATCCCTGTTCTGGGCCCCCAACAGATTCACTGAATTACTGGAAGTGTGTTTCGAATTTCCTTCCATCCTGAGTGGCAAATGGGCGATCACTTCTTTATTAACAGGCCAATCATGGCATGTAATCAAATCCTGGTACACAGGTGAGGGACAAGAACAAGGATTTTGGCACTGTTTTACAGACAGACCTAACCAGAGTTTAGATTTGTCTGTGGTGCAGGCTAGGTTTTCCATAACCTGTACGAACTCTGTCAGGGCCTCCAGATTACAATTCGAGTGCTCTTACTTCTTGGCCATGTCGCTTAATGTCATTATCATGGTTGTTATTGTTTAGAACTTACCTCTGTGTTTTACAAAAAAGTAGTCATCACACCATTTCTTGAACTTGGAATAATATGACTTGTCGTGTTTATCACAGAACTCTTTCAAAGTCTTATGAAAATGCTTTGCATCCTGAAAATAAGTCATTTTTGGTTAACAAAACCAGCAGGGTGATGGAATGCCAAAGTACCAACAGCACTAAATACCTCATTGAAGTTATTTTAATGGTACATACAGTAAATTTTCATGACTTTTGCCAGATCAAAAAGATTCCACAGTAAAGAAGCACAGAAAAATCATCAAATTTACAACACAAAATTTAATACCCCGGTGCTTTCCACTCAAGGCCGTTTGGAAGAAATTCAGTTATTAACTCAAGTGTATATTGTACAATGAAGATGTCTGTAGCATAACATTGCATTTTATCCCAAATAAACTTTATAAAAATTATTCTAAAGTTTCTTTTCATTGCAATCAAGGTTAAATGTTAACCCATTCAATCCTGAGAATTTTGCTGAAAATGCAGTTTGAAGCCAGTTGAGCCATTTTCTGGTCACTGTCTGGCTATAAAAAGCTAAATCTTTCCACAAAGCCATTTACAAGTTGGCACTTCGCAGCCGTCTGTTCCAGATGCAAAATATCCGCTTCTGAAGTTTGGGCAGGTGCAGAAAGAAAAAGTTCGAGACATGTTTAAGAGTGACATACATATACATGTAGCAGTCTTGACTTTTACTTTCCACTTTCTCTCGTCCTCTGTTCTTTACTCTTCTCACCTCATTTTTTCTTTTTCATTTGTTGGGCAATTACTAGGTTTTATTTAGGCAAAGCTTTTAGGATCTTAGGATTTGATGGAACGAAAAGAAGTTGCGTAAAGGAGCAACAACATTACAACTGATTCCGGCTAAAGAACGGGTATAAAATGGTTCCTCGAATAACATGGGTCTTGTAAAATTTTGGCCCTATCTCAAAATCTCGGAAGCATTTTTGATGGGTCTTGAAGTCTCATTTTCAGGTAATTTTGCATCTCAAAGTCTCAAATTTTGAAACCAGGGTCTCACAGCCTCGCAAAGTCTTGAATTTACCATTCTATACCCCTTAACATGGCTTTTTGCTTTTTGTCTCTGTCCTCCTTAACTGAATCATGCTCATCCTAGTACATGTGTGGTTTGAAAGATCTCTCTTCTCTACAGAGAATTAGTTAACTAGACCTGTGAAAATGTGGCTATGGAAGCTGAAGAACAAATTGAATACTCAGTTCTGAGAAGCATGTTTGTCATCATTTCTGCCAGATCACAAAAATATTCAAGCCTTAAAAATTTGTCTCTTCAACTAGTATAACAACTTCACCCACAATTTAGTAACATCAAGGTGATCTTGTTACCTCTTCATTAAGATAATAAGGAGTAAGGTCAGTTCCTCCACCAAACCAACTGTGTCTCTTTCCATTTTCTTCCTGGACCTCAAAGTAACGATAGTTAAAGTGGAGGGTTGGTACAAAAGGATTGCGAGGATGAATGACTGAGCTTATTCCAGCTGCAAAAAATGGAAACTTGTTTCCTTTTAAATCGTTGCCTCTGCTTTTCATTTGTTGGACAGCTTGTGGAGATAAGTGACCATAAACAACAGAAACGTTCACTCCAGCTTTCTCAAAAACTTTCCCTGTAAAAAAATACGGACCAGGGTTCCCATCATTATATGTAGGGAACTGGCTATGGTTGACTCCCATAGCTGTAGAGCCCCTTAATGTTTCAAATTAAGGGCTACTTTCATGACAGTGGAATAACTGTCATTCTGGAACGAGTTTTGTTCCAGAAGGAAGTTAATACATGCACTCAAATGACAAAATTGGCCATCCCACCCTAGAGTGTTCTCACTTGCTTTATTTTCAAACCAGATAAGTTACACTTGCGCCACTCCACCATACACCCCTTTACCTTAACTAAAATACCCATTTTTTGTACCCATTTTTTTAACATGGAAGCCTATCCAACCCCCACCCCCCTCCCCCTCACCCCCCCTCGACCCCAACCATGGGGCCCTCATGCAAAATGTCTAACTAACAGCAAACAAGGACAGAGGGAAAATGTATTAAAATATATAAATAAGCCACAGTGCGACGAAGAAATTTATCCATAAAATGAAGACTCTTACCATCTTGCAAAACACAGCTTATCCCGCCACCACCTTCCTTTCTCAGCCATCGATCCACACGGAATTCCTGTCCATCAATCGCAGCAAGTTTCTTGCAAATTTCGGCTTGTACACCGAGGATCATGACTTCCATGCGGCTCTTAAAGTCGTCCATGCTACTCTCCAAGATGTCTGGTGCCGTTAGGGGTTCAGCCATGAACGTTGACGTGTCCACAAGTTTTGGCTTTTCGCGCGCAGAGAGGAGTGAAATTGTGGAAATCGCGGCACCAATTCCTATGGTAGACGCTCCAAAACCAAGAAGAAGAGCACGGGTTTTGCTACTACTCTTCGCACAAAAAACACGAAGAAAACTGATTCTAAAAGCCATTGCAGAATGTGCAAGGAAAATAAACTGTCGTCAATATTTAACCTCTGCCGGGAACAATATCGCCGATGAGTCAGTAACAAAAATTTGGTACAGTTCGTTCAACATATATGACAGTTAGTCCTCAAAGCTTACAAATGCCGCTGAGAACTGTTGTCTCACGATACTTGAATCACGATCTCCCGGATGTGAGCGATCTCTTCGTCCGTGGCATTTGCAAAGGTAAGGGAATTAAAAATTCCCTGTCCGGAATCAACCTTTATCTGGCTTCGCTTACGACATCATCACCCCTTCCTTTCTGTGCTTATCATTGAAGGATACCTGTAGCTTCTTGTATATTTATATTTTCGTAAAAATGTAATAAAGAATCCCCTGATATTCGTTTCTTTCTCGAACTTGTAGTAAGCTTTTCTGCTTATGTTTTGAAAATAGAGTACTATCCTAAAAAGATTATAATACACTGTTAGTAGTTGCGACTTATTTATCGGCAACAACTGTCGTCTCAAAATTTCCTATAGCTAAAATTGTTGTAGTTTACAGTGTTTATAATAAATTATAGCACACATGCATGGTGCTGTACGTGAATCTCTCACAAATGAAATTTCACGTGTGTCGTTTAATATAGATGGCAAAAGTCCACACGCCACGAAACAAGGATCTTGCACCGGGTATCGGAAGGTACAGCAGATCGGCCATATACAAAAAGAGGGCTCTCTACAAGAGGAAAAAGACTGGAGTAAAGAAGGAAGTGACCGAGGAAGCGAAAACTCGAGTCAAAGAGGTTGGAGGAGATAAAAATGGTGGTACAAGAGTTGTCCCTGTTAAGAGAGAGGTATGCTATTGAAGTTATCAATGCACCTTTTTTAATGATTTAACAGATAGTATAGACAGATATCTCACCAGTTGTATGTGATGTCTTGATACTCATTGGCCATCCCCCTGGGGGGTGACCCCAGGCAAGGGAGGGGACTTTGTGAAGGACCCAGAGAAAGTGCTTAAATTCCCCCTCCTTAAGAGGGGCACAGAGCAATCAAAGTTAACAAATTCAATGTATCAAAAATGTTCAAAATAACCTTGAGATGCCATTATTATGACCCAGCATCTCCCATAATAATAATAATAATAATAATAATAATAATAATAATAATAATAATAATAATAATAATAATTTACCAATTTATATAGCGCATATTTACATGTGCTGATCAATAGCGCTTTACAATCATATGTTTAAAAGAAAACGAAAATACATTACCGTGAGAATAAAATAAACTAAGTTACAAACTATAAAAATACTTCTTAAAAAGATAGGTTTTAAGTCGAGATTTAAAACTGTTAGGTGATGTTGCTTGACGAAGCTCCACAGGTAGCTCATTCCAGAGTTTCGGAGCTGCTGCTGAGAATGATCTTGCTCCCAATGTTGTAAGCATCTTTTACCTTGGGATGGTCCAATAAGAGCTTACCAGTAGACCTAAGATTATATAATGAATTCGATTTTATACTAATAAGATCGCTAAGATAAGTTGGCGCTAGGCCATAAATACATTTGAAAGTCAAAAGTAAAATCTTATAGTCAATACGCAAAGAAACTGGCAGCCAGTGCAGCTCATAAAGCGCCGGTGTAATGTGAGACCAACCATCACAATCTTGTTGGGATTCTCCCAATTTTGCTTGAAAATCCTGAATCCAGACTAACATGTGATCGGAATAGGGAAAATCCCCATTTTGACATTTGTTTTGAAATTTTCAAATGAATTCTTATGATAAATACACAAGAACATCTAACAGAGTGTACGTAACTGTCATGTCATGTTGAGCACTGTCATGTGACACATTACCATTTTCATTGTATCTTTGCATGTAAATACAGGAAGGGTTAGATAACCATTGTTCCTAACTTGTGGCTTTGAATTGTTGAGAATTTTTCCTGGTAAACAACCTCCCATTTAATAGGCAGAGGTTGCTTACCTGGGGAAAACCATTTTTTCAGTGTGTATTGTTTATTTCTTCTGTAGTCTCGCTATTACCCAACAGAAGATGTAAAACAACCCCTGAAGAACCGCCGAAAGGCCAAGCTCACTAAATTGAGGTCTTCTATCACCCCTGGGACCATTCTTGTGCTATTGGCTGGTCGTCACAGAGGCAAGGTTAGTATATAAGCAAGGCCACACCATTCACATCATCAAGGAGCTGTTGAGTCGTTAATTATTGTGACATTCTTGTTTGTGAATGATGTGCAATCTGGAAAATATTATTTTGAGGGTCAGTGTCATTTACTTAGGTGTTTGTATTATTGAAAATCCCTAGAGTGATTATCGCGGAATAATAAAAATACGCACATTGTCTTCATCATAAACTTTGTTTAAAAGTCTAATCTTCAATCATGCAATAAGAGACCCACTAATGGGGAACACTTTAGCAAGTTAACAAATTGCATGTTGCTTCAATGGACTCCCCTCTTCTGATACATTTCATTTGCTTCTGTCCTTTTCTAAAACACAGCATGACAGTTGGGCGTAATATAAAGGTGGTCCATGGTAAAAAAAACTCGAAAGTTGCTATTACTTTGACTTACACACAGGAGAAAAATGTATGCAATGCTTATAAAGATATTTTTCAATTGATTGGTTGGGTCAATCTGATTATTTCTGATGATCACTCTCTTTCATACAATGTAGCAGGGTTGGGTCATAGCACTTTAGCAGGGTCATTCAAAAATGAGAAAAATTGTAATTATTTCTTTTGCAGAGGGTTGTCTTTCTCAAACAACTTGCTTCTGGCCTTCTTCTTGTTACAGGTAACATTAGCATGTTTTACACTGTTTTGTTTCTCTAATAAGCATTTTCTCCCTTTGCCAAACTAGCAGTTAGCCCGGTGGGGGGCAGGTACCTTTGATTTAAGAATTTTTGAGTGGGGATGTGCCGCTGGAACCCTGGAACCCTTAACCTCTACCAGAGCTAGTGCAGCTGAATTTTGCTACACTATGCTGGACTAAACTCCCCAATCCCCCCCCCCCCCCCCTCCCTCAAGGACGTTTTTGGCGGGGTTTCATAAAAAAATTGTAAGCGAAAATTGGGCGGGGGGGTGTTTTTTTATTAAGGGAGGGGGGTTTCTGCTGGGCTTTTTCAATACAAACTTTTGTTTTTTCTTGCTGCATCGCACGCATGTTTCCTGTGGTATT